ATATATATATATATATATATAATCGTAAATATATATATTTTTTCGTTTTAAAAAAATAATAAGTTTATTTTTTTTTTTGTGTAATATTTTTTCATACGCAGCAAAAATATATATATATATATATATAACTATTATTATTTCTTCGACGACTTAACGTTCTTCTTTTTCAAATTATTAAAAAACTTATGACCGCTATCGCTGGTAACAACTATTTAATTACCATGCCTTATATTGGACAATACGACATTAACTTGGGTGGAAACGGTTATGATTACCCTCCTCAGTTTGTTAAAACCGAATATTTCCCAACTCAAAAACAACAACCTCAACAACAACCTCCTCAACAACCTCAACAACCTCAAGAACAATTATATTATCCAATGTCCGGTTCAACTTCTCCTCAACATCCAAATCTTTTATATTCTCATCAACTTGAACAATACGATAATAATAACGATAATACCAAAAATGTTCAAGTTAAAACTGAATTTGATTATCGACAATTTGAGGAATCCGTTTCAAGTGTAGAATCTTCTCCACATAATGTTCCTGTTAACGACTTTGAACAACCTTCGCAATTCACTTATAATTATCCTCCTCCTCTTTGTGATGATTCTTCAAGTGAACCAATTTCTACTGCTACTTCTCCAACTGTAACAACTGGTGGTGATCTTACTTTCGCTTTATCTCCTGATTCTCTTTCTCAATATTATAGTATTATTCAAAGTACACCACTTGATCAAAATACTGGTGTTCAACCTTCTTTCACTGATCAAATGAGATTCATCATTTATGAACCTCGTCAAAATGATAATGTTTCATTACTTCCAAATATTAATGGTCAAAATTTTTCTTCCGTACCAATGTGGTCTTTACCCGTATCAGCTCCAAGTATTGATAATAGACCTATAACATCAGTTGCTTCAACTCAAGGTTCTTTAAATTTACCATTTGATTATTCGCAAAATCAAGTTTTGGTAAATCCCGCTCAAATAAATCCTATTCCTCCTGTATCATCAGCTTCTCAATCACAAACTACTCAACAATCTACTACTCAACAAGGTCAACAAACACAACAACAACAACAACAACTCATCAAATGTCCACATGATGATTGTCCAAAAACCTTTAGCAGATTATATAATTTGAAAGCTCATTTAAGATCTCATTCTCCTGCTAGACCATATCAATGTCCAATGTGTCCAAGATCTTTTTCAAGAAAACATGATTTACAAAGACATATTAGAGTTCATACAGGTGTTAAACCTTATCAATGCCCATGTTGTCGAAAAGCTTTTGCTCGTACAGATGCACTTCGTCGTCATTTCAAAATGGAAGAGACCTGTAGAAATTCACCTGAAGTTCAAAACATGAAAACAAGAAGAAGATACTCAGAAATGCATTAATTAATTATAATAAATTCTAATTTTTTTTTTATAATGGGTTATATATTTGGGTTTGGGAATTGTTTTTTTTTTTATTATTATTTTTTTT